GTAGGTTAGGTTAGTTGTTAGTACTACGTACTCTACCTACCTACCGTACCGTACCGGTACGTCGGTTCGTACGTACACGTACTATATATATATATATATATATATATATATATATATATCATCGGGTGATCAAGGCCGTAGATTCAATTCTAGTAGATTGGGAGAACCCTTGGTGCCCTAGTTCTAAGCCACTGGGGAGGCTGATATGAAGGGTTCTCCTTTTGGTCAGTGTAATTCCACTGGTATGAGACCAGTAGATGCAATCATAAATTAGAAGTAGAGCTTGGATGTTTATCTGGAAATGTAGTATAAGCCAACTGCTATTCTAAGAAACAGACTATCCCTGATGGTTATGCCAGCTGTTAGGTGTTCCATTCTTTTTGGGATACAGATCTGGGATAATTTGTCCCTGTGCCTGCTTATTCTGGTAACTATTTCTTACATGCTTTATGGCTTGACTTATTACCATACTCACATTAGGAATACAAACATTGCCAATCCCCTCAACTATATAGACCAGTTAAGCAGTCTTTATTGTGCAACACTTTAGCAACACACAGGAGGTTCTTTTGTAAGTACTTTGCTCTACCACTTCTAATGGGCAAAGGTTGTTCCTGCATGAGATGGATGTGGTTTCATACTAAATGATGATCCACTGAATCCTCTCACAAATGGGTGAAATGCTCCATGAATATTCCTTTTTTTGTCACTATATTATGAAAGGAACTCATCATTTTAATTTTTTTATCTACGTTGGTCCATCCACAATCTTATCAATATGATGTTCTAGCTACTCATCTCTTCACATAACCACCCTCCTTTCCTCCCTACTTTGGGGTCTGTTTTGACTCATTGTTATATACAATGTGCATGGTCAGTACTATGCATGGAGGATATGTCACCATATTACTGGTGTATGGCTATAGTCTAATAGTGGTTGCATTATACACTGGTGCAATACATGTTATTATATGTAGGATTGAGAGGCTTGATGCATGCACAGAATCTTTTTTGGCAGTGACATACGGTAATAACTGTCTGTTATGTAGAGAAAAAAGTATCTAGCTGAAATAATTATCAGGTAAAAAAATGTTTAACAATCAAGGTTGCCATTAGAAGATGTTTTCATGGTGGTAATAGTAATGTGAAAGTCAACATAATGGGGTAAACCGAAAAGAGGGGCAACTGTGAAAGATAGTTTATAGGATGAGGAAGAAAGGAGATTCTGCTTTCATAAATTCCTAATTCAGCCAAAGCTGGAGAAAGTCGAGATTGATGAAAGAAATAGTTAAGCTACATGACAATGGGTATAAAGTCAGACACCACTGAGAAGCGGGGTACCATTAGAGGTGTGACATATGAGGATGACTTCATGGAAGAAAGCTGTCATCCCCAAAACAGAAAGGGTGTCTATGGCAGTGGGTGTAGAAGACATAAGACTATGTACAGGAGACTAAGGCTTGAAATGGCTGAAGTGTACCTTGAAATGTGTTAAACCAAAACTTCAGATGTGTTGGTACAAAATGGGAGTTGGAGTTGTGACTGATTCATCTAAAAATGTAGAAGCTGGTTGGTGAACTGAGTATGTTTGTAAGAGACTGAGTATATGAAAAAGTCAGAATAAGTCAATTATCCATGTAAAAGAATGTTGAGTGAAAGGAGAAGACTGATGGAAACTTTGTCTAATCATCAGAAACATGTAGACTCAAAGCCAGGCCAAATGGAAGGGTAGCGAACTGATAAACTACTTCCCAGTGGCAAAAAGAAAATAATAGATGAATATAGATATAAAGATAAGCATCATGTACATCCACCTTTGTCATTAAATTGTAATGATGAAGCAACTTTCTTAAAAACCTCATGTTATCAATTTTGAAATAAAGACTGAATTGAGACTGGTTCATGACAGGCTTTCAAGCTTCTGATTCTTTGGAATTACAAAGAGGTGGAATTAAAACACCTGGATAAATATGATAAACAGTTTTGACTGCTTTGTTCTAAAGTAGATTTTGTTTTTTATGATCCAGAACTTGTAAGTGAGTGTATTGGAAGAAAGAAGGAAAAACATTAAGACCAGACTAAAGGATCTGTCAGACCCAGGGGTCTAAAATCCAAAGGTTTCATAGATGAACCAATGATCTGACTTTACCCACAATAGTCCAGATGTAAGATTCATCTGAAACAGGAGAGACATTGAATTGGTCCAGAAAACCCATCTCTGTTATTTCTGTATTTGGCCACCCGGTAGAGTGATCATGTCGAAGTAGCTAATATTGACTGAGAAGTAGATGAGTATGCACAATAAGTCATGTAGAAGGTGGGAAAGTGGAGAATTCTGTGTATATTGATGCATGCACTGCTTTATGTCAAGGACATTCAAAAGCTAGTCATACGATTGTTGACAGTTTGAAAACAAACTTAAAAGGGAAAGGCTTTTAACCTTTCAATAGTAGATCTACCTAATTTGAAGTATTTTTTGTTTAATGCATCAGAAGAAAAAGGCATTAGTCATATTTATTTCTGTCTTTTTGTGGTATATAGTTTTATGTTTTATCCTGTAATTCATTTTCAAAGGTCAAAAAACACTCAGTTCTGGAGTAAGAATATAATATAAATATACTACTAATTTTATATTTCCTTATACATAGTTCTTTTACTTCGTAATGGATTTTTCTTGGATGCAGTTTTTTTATTGTTAATATAAATGACCAATGGCATAATTACAATTTCAAAATGGTGTACATAAAGATCACATTTAAATAATGAATTTAATTCTCATCCTCTCCTTTTTTTCTCATTACAGATATTCAAGACATCAAACAACTTTTATTCACGGACTCATTAGTCACCTTTTCTGATGAAGATCATGCTGTTGGAGAACTGAGTATCACTGTAGACATTGTATCTAGGATTGGACAGCCCTGTCTTCTTGTTAATGCTAATAGCCATGGCATTGTAGGGGGTGTTCCCTGTGGGACATCAGTTACAGCTCATTTAAAACCAAACCTGGAAACCCTTGAGCAAATATATCATGAATATGTAGAGGTTTGATTTGTTTTATTAGAGGTATACACTGTAAATAGACCTAAGCAACATGAGTGTATTTCTGAAAAATTAAGTATTTCTCAGTATACTTCTAGAAACAGATGTGTTGAGACACTTTTAATTGACACTTCTGCTTAGTACTTGTTACATGTCTGAATTGTTACAATAACAAACTTACACATCCTTGTAGCCCTTCTATAAACCACTTTCAGTGAGTTATTAGAGTTAATGTGTTCTTGAAAATTTGACCAAACTTCTGCACAGTATTCCAGTTACATCCTAACTAGTAATTGTAGAGAGACCATTACCTCTGACTTCAACTCAGTATGTCTGTAAATGCACTGTGACATTACTTGCTTTACTACTAACAACAAAGCACTGTCTTGATGGCTATATTAAGATCATTCTATTCAGTCATACAATAGAGTGGATTTCAATCTATATTAAATGCATTATCTATATAAATAATACACTTGCTTTATCTGTCCAGAATTTTTTTCATAAATTCCTTGATCAAATGTTACAAATCTTATATTATTGTCTGAGGAGTCTGGATTGCATATTGGCTTTTCCATTCAGAATCATCTTGCTGTTTGCTTAGTCAAACTCTTTAATGCAACGTGTATGCTACATGATGGCACAATGTCATTGTCATCATGTGATGACTGGCTTCGATTTCAGTTATGTTTTTTTATTTGCAAATTATTTCACTCAAACAATACTTAACCTGTGGGTAATTTCCTGAAAAATAGAACATTACACTAAATACAATTGCTGTGAGCTTTCTTGACTTATTTAAGTCTAAATTATGCCTGTGCAGTTCATTCAAAACCATATGCTTATCGCTTTGTGAACATGCATTCAGATGTTTCTGCATATTCAGCTAAGTTTGCCTTCATTACAACTTTACATTTACTTTACTTTGCAATAACTTAGCTTTGGTTCATTTCATAGACTGCTATAAATGCCTTTTAACTACTTTTCTTTAGTATGGGTTTTATTCTTCATTTTTACGAGTTTGTTTCAACTTGCAAAACTGTATCAACCAATGAATGCTCATAACTGTTTCATATTCTGTACACTATTATAAAAATCATTACTATACTTTATTTTTTTACTTTACATCTAATTTTATCAAACAATGTTATATCTACATGAGTTTGTTTGACCACATGAAATTTTATTAAATAGGTTTGTTTATGGTACAGTGGTTGCAACATGAATTGTCTAAAGTAATAAAAGTGAGAGAAAATGTTTATGATATGACTTTGTACAAAGTCATATCTAATCCAATAAACTTGGTAAATATTTGAATGTTAGTTATCCTCACACGGTGATTGGAATTTAGCAGTATAGGTGTATAAAGTAAGTGCTTATGAACATGTGTGTGTGTGTGTGTGTGTGTGTGTGTATATATATGAATTATATATCTTGGTTTAAGAAGTCATCGATCAGATGTTTTTGCCTTTAATGTTACCCACTTCCTCTTCCATACCCCATATTTTATTCTATATCCCTAAGACCTATGCTGCCTATGAAGGGTGTTTGGCTTTCACATTCATTTTCTTAAATTCCATCTCCCACTGGTACTCCCATTCCGATCCTAATTGGCTTCTTTGTCCATTTTGCTCCTTATGGTGTTATGTGGCATATCCTACCTCCTTTTTGGGTTCAGGTTCCCAACTTTTATTCCCTGGAATCCTTCCATTTCCTGTGACCTATCCCCTTTCATGTTCACTTGTTGGATTCATCAACTTGTTAGGCTGGTATATTCAGACTTAACCATGGAAAATCACGGTCTCCACAACGTTTCTTCTCATCATAATATCATAGTATTTCAAATACTGGATAGTTGGAATAATCAGAAACACTAATTGAACTGCAAATTTTAATTAAACAAAATAATAATTAAAAAATCATAATGCCAATATTTCAATTAATGGATAGTTCAAATAATCAAAAACTAATTTTATTAAGTTGATTATTTTCATGACACTAATCAATTTAATGATATTTTTGATTATTGAATTGTTGGAATAATTGAAAATGGTATTAATGGAAATTATTAGTTGATTATTTTTCTGACATTAATTGTTTTTTTTTTTGTAATTCTAATTGGTTGAATATTTTTTGTGATAATTATTGATGTTCATACTTGATAGGTTAGTAAATTTTAACACCCAGCATTACTTAGGAGTTCCAAACCTACAAAAGATTTCCCTTAACATTTTTTCAGCAGTTATGTGAGTGGAGGCATCAAGAACAGCTTGTGAGTCATGTAACAACAAAACTGAAGTTTAAATAATTTTTAAAGGTTTTTTTGAAGCAAAGGAATTAAAAGTTTGAATTATAACATACATCATAATGTTAATTTCATTGACATACATTGATAGTATAGTTGTTTAATTACTTTTTGAATGTAACTCAGTGACTTTCATAGAAAGGGGTTTAAATGGATATTGGTTGTGAAAAGGTTACTATTTTAAAGATTCCCAAGATTCCAGGCAATGGGTGTTAATGAAACATGGGTAAATGATACTTCTGCAGCTCTTTTGGAACATAAACAAGCATTTTTTGCTGGGAATTTTGAAAGGTGTAAAGCTTAATGAATACTACATCATCTGTCAGAATATACTTCCAATATTTAAATTTTAATGATATTATGCTGGATTTTCAGCTTTATTTCTAATACTTGAGTATCTCCTTGAGCTCTAACCAATTCATCATGAAAATCAGAATTTATACCAACCACAGTTAGAATAGTTACAAATTCCTGATGTTATAATTAAGATACACTCTTTTAGATGTTCAGAAATAGGATTTTTGGATAATGCATCAGGAATCATATTAGAATTTCCAATTCAATGAATCTAAAGCTAAATTCATTAAGTCTCAAAGCTCACTTTGCTGAATTTTTTGTGGTATTTTTTATTAAGTAATAATTTTAATGTAGCATGATTTTCTAACCACTGTATAATTATTACCTGTTACATGTAGGTGAAATAACCACAGCCATATTTTTTGTGTTGTACTGTATTTTATTTCTTGCTTACTTAACAATTGACTAGCATAACAAATAACTTGCTCTTTGTTCTTCCCATTGAACTAGAGCAACACTGCACCTAATCCTGTATCTGGTGTATCACAGTGATTTTCAAAATGCTCATTGTAATCTGGTAACAACAGAGTAGATTTCTTGATTAAGTGCTGTTTCAAATGCACAAAAGTTTTGACACACTTCAAACCAGTTAAATGCAACACCGTTACATTTGATTGCCACCAAAGATTCACTAATAATGGCATAATTTGAAACACATCTCTAGTAATATCCACAAATGACCAAAAAAAGTCATGTTTTTAAGGGTAGGAAAATTTTACATAGCTTTTCCTTTATTGCTATCAATAGTAATTTCTTGTGGAGCAAACCTAAAAATGGAAACTCAGCTCAGTAAAAGTGATCCTCATGCAACTTTGTTGCAGTTGTTGTGGTACCTCTTAAATGTGTTGGAGGCTACTACTATATTAACATATGATATTGCTATTTTATAGAGTACCCCTGACAGAACAAGATTTGTTAGTTGTTGGAAAGTAGTTGATGTGTTTCACGATCCAAAGGGAAGAACCTTAAATACAATAATCCATAATGGAAAATAAATGCTGTTTTTGGTCTATTAGCTCATCAGCAGGCAGCTAGCAATATCCGTAGGATACATCTAATTTACTATGTACCGAGCCTTACCCAAAAAAGTTAATATATCTTCAATATGAAGTAAAGTGTACTTTTCTGTTATAGTAATTGAGTTGATATGCTGGAAATCTACACAGAGCCTGACTGCTTCTGAGGTTTTGTTATTGACTACAACAACTGATACTGGAGAGTTAGGGCTCACTGAAGGTTTAATAATATCTTCTAGGATTATCCTGATATTTTTCATTTTTTTTTTTTTTCTCTAACTAAAGAGATTATAGGGGTTTATAAATGTTCAGGAAGCTACTTGTGTGCAGTATGATGAGAGAGTAACCCTATTCTCCTTGGGTGATCATCAAAAACATTTAAATTTTTCCAACAAATTGTTTAGTTCTACCTGCTCATGTTCTAATGTTCTATTCAATTCTTCTTTCAGTAATCGTGGGTAATGGATAGATAAATCATTCTTGTATTCCTGAAAGTTCTGGAATTATAATTGCACAAGTAGTAGCATCTAGTTTTACCCCATTCTTTTGCAAAAATACTATTCTCAATATGATTATGAGGTTGGTAAAGTGGAGAACATAAAAGTTATGAGAAAACTTTTTCCCTTACAATATGAAATATAATGAAATTATAATATCAACTGAATACTTTTGTGAGGTTAGTCAACTGCATCTTCATATCCACAAATCTTATGTAATTTAAACTAGAACTGGGAATAACTAATCACAGAAACATAGGCTCTAGTCACTATGTATTCTTACTATAATGCAAAAAGTAACATCACCAGAATGTTTACTTTCAGAAATAATGGGATATAGGTAAGGTAATGCCCCCCCCTCCTCGAATTATTTTACCAAATTGTTTCATTATAGGATTTATAATGGGTAGAATTCCAAAATCTACCGTACCTTGCTTACTATCACAACAGAAACATCAACCTCTCAAAGTGATATATTTCGCTAAAATAATTATCTTATCTCAATTCTTTTAAATCATTATCTCCAAGTTTTACCATCAAATCATGCTCTAGTTAGTAATTTGGTAATTGTTATAGGCATTCCTCTAGTATATAATGAATTTTTATATTTATTACATACATGATTCAAAATCACATTAATTTGTTCATGTTCCAGGGGAGGTTACTTCATACCCTTAAATATTCCTACCACTTTCACAACAATAGCAGGCAATGTCTCATTTATCTAAAAAATTTTATATAAAATTCTATAGAGTTTCATGGGCATTCTTCAAAAAAGCATGTTGAAATTTAAATACAAATCTACCTAAGTACCCATTGTAGGTCTCA